GAAGAAGGTAGTCTGCCAGATGGGCAGTAAACCCACACGGAGGACCTCACCTCAACCCTGACGCTGATTTGCATTATTACTGGTTGCGCAAAATACAGACCCAAGAAAGCCACACAGTAGCACTCGGGGGACGTATCTAGTCACACAGTAGGACTTTGCGGACGTATCTAGTCCGTCAGATGGCCACGAATCCCACACGAGACTTTCCTTTTTTTTTTTTTTTTTGGGAAAACAATTTGGACCATTTCTCGATTTATGCGTGTCATCCTTGCGCAGGGGCCATGCTAATCTTCTCTCTCTCTCTCTCTGTATCGTTCCATTTTTTTTTTTTTTTTGGAAAGCTTAAAACTTTTATTTAAATCAACAAATGGGACGAGGCCGGGGACCTCACAATTCTACCCGGAGTTAACCTGGCAGCCTCAGCCAGTTTCGCTTACGAGCCAGGCTCGGCAAACAAAGCTAGCTGTAAAAATTTAATCCTACGCATGCTGAAAACTGGGTCCAGCGTCCCATCATCAAATGCTTCCCAAAAAACAGCTTTAACGCTCAGAAAAGGTGGGCTAACCACCAAACAAGACTAGCTCATACATCCGTAGAGCAACCATTGAGCCCTACCTTCTTGCCCAGAGGAAACAAAATCACCTGAATATGAATCTCTCCTCTAGGCAGTCTGAAACCCCAGGGGGGGAGGGGGGGGGGGACCCTTAAGATATTAATTGTTAAGCTCCAGTCAAGAAAATACAATAAGCCTAATCCGGCTTTAACCAACTGCAGAGCTCCAATTTCCCATCTCGGATGACAGAGGCCAGAACATTACCCCTGGCCCAGGTTTTCAGAAACCACTGACGCGTTCTCCCTTGCGGGCTCCAGCATGATCTCCAGTCAGCTATAATCATATATCTCAAATTATTCCTGATCTGGTGTTGTTGTTGGAAAACAGAGATCTTTTCTTTGTTAAATACACTCGCATTCCTTGCTCTCCATATTACTTGGAGCAAAATCCCTCTGCACACCAAAGCCACATACCCCAGACCCTTTGAGTACTGCAGGTTTTCCTTTGGAAGGATCCCGTGTACCAACCAATCATCATTCCGTGGAAAGGTTTCCCCCACAATATTGGTCCAGTGCGCTATCCACCACATCCCTATTTCGTCAGCTAGTGGACAGCACACCCACACATGTGCATTGGATTCCCATCCCCAGTTGCAGCGGGAACAAATGGTCGATACTTCCATTCCCTTCGAAGATAGCCAGAGTGCCGTAGGAATTACAAACAAGGACTGCATCCACATGAGACTGGCTGCCTTTTGAGGGGGAATCTTTCTCAACCCTTTCCATAATGCTGTCCAGTCAGGCTGTTGGGCGTCCGGACCCTTCAGCTTGATAAACCTTTTTGAGGCTAATGAAGATGGAGTTACAGGCCTCAGAGATTGTAGGTAGACAACTCCCGTTTTAGCCTTGTACTGCACCAGATACTCTGTCTCCTGTCCACTGACGCCATTTGCCTTCGTATTCCAGCCATACAGCAGAGGTTCCATTCGAATGCTTTCACCAGATCCTAAGAATAGGCTTTTCCCTTTCACCCGAAGCACCCGTGCTTCTGACAGGCCGACTGTGCTTGGTATGGTCTGTTCCTGTATACGCCGAAAGGGGCCACTCACAGAGTTGGAGAAGCCCAGTTGCCATTCTTCAATACGAAAGCCTTCTCTTAAGTCTGGCCCCAGTACTTTCCATAGTGTCCGATGATCCGTTGAGGGGATAGAGCTCAGAAGCCGATCCAAATTCTCTGGAACCTGCCTCAGACGGGGCAGGCGGGKTTTCAATTCATCGCTAGTTACCCACTCCTCTAAGTCTGACCTCCATAAATCCTTGATCTGTAGGACCCCTCTCTCCACCCACGCTCTTCCAAAGTTCCTTCTGCCATCGTTTGCCGAGAAGACAATCCCACTTGGCGTTACAATCCAACAGTTGTCGAACAAATTTTGGTTGGCCACTTCTAGCGTAGAGCTGGGTTGTTTTGCGACTGGGGGCAGGATTTTCTTCCAGGCGAATAGAATATTACGCCATATTCTCGATTTTACTCGTCTATTCACGAAGGATGGCATTAAACAGCATTGCCAAACCCTGCCCTCCTCTGACAGTGCCCATTCCTGGCCTAGGATGTACTCAGCCAGTCTGATCCATAATTTAGAGGGATCATCCAGCATGGCTTTTTTCACCCATTTAGCCAGGAGTCCAATGTTTTGAGAACGGGGGTCTAAACCCCCCAGATCTCCTTGGGCTCTAGGGAGAGTTATTACATCCCAGACCACTTTGGTGATGAAGCCATGGTCTTCTTCAGCCGATGGTTTCCATGTGTATTTGGCAACAGCCCGCCGAATATTATTATAGGCCTCATCGCCCAACAAACATAGAGAAAGTGGGAACCACAGCACCGAAAACGCAGCTGAAGACAGTACCAGTGCTCTCCCCAGGAGCGACAACCTATAGTTCCTTAGCCATGAGTGAATTCTTGCCGTCACCCGGTCTGATAGCAGTTGATCCTGAGTTTTGGAACAGTCTGAGAGGGACACTTGTATCCCGAGAAAGCGCTCAGAGTTTTCCGTTGGAATCGGTCGTAAGCCCCAGTTAACTTTAAGTTCATACATGTCCGGTAAAAAATAAACAGATTTAGACCAATTAATTGACGCCTCTGAAAGTACGCAGTACTCTTCTATAACTCTTATGAGCTCCCCAAGCGAGGAAAGGGTATTCTCGCAGGCGACCGTCAAGTCGTCTCTGATCGCTCCAGCCTTCCAATGTAGGGAGGGAGACAGTCTCAGTCCAGAAATCTCCTCATTATATCTAATATTGTCTAATAAAACTTCTAATTGTAGAACAAAAAGCAGGGGGGCCAAAGGCCACCCCTGCCTCAGAGATCTAGTCAAAGAGAATTCGTCCGAAATATGCCCATTGACCATCACCATGGATGAAGCATTAGCATACATGGCATGTACCCAACTAGAGAAACCCGGGCCAAAGCCCATTCTAGACAAGGTGGTAGAGGCAAAAGCCCATCCCACCTTATCATAGGCTTTCTCCAGATCCAATAGGAGTACCGCTACTTCCCTTTTCCCGACCCCTATTACCTCGAGTGCCTGAACCGTTGTTAATATATTTTCAAAAATAGAACGGCCCTTTACGAAGGCACCTTGCTCCCACCCTACTAGGTGTGGAAGTTCAGCAGACAGTCTGATAGCGAGGGCCTTCGCTAGGATTTTATAGGCAACATTGAGAACCGAAATAGGACGGTAATTGCGGACCTCCCGCTTGTCCTCTTTTTTGTATAGTAGTGAGATGGACCCTTTGACAAAATTGTCCGGCAAGGAGCCAGTTTGAAAAGCAGTATTTTAAATTTTACACAGAAATGAGGCGAAACCATCCCAGGCACTACGAAAAAGCTCTACAGGCAAACCATCAATTCCGGGACACTTGCCTGAAGCCATTTGCTTAACTGCCTCTGAGAGCTCTTTTTCCGTCAGTGGAGTGTCCAACATGCCTTTTGAGGATGTGCTGATACATGCCTTAGTTTTGTTCCAATAGTTCGATGTCAAAGATAAATCTGTGTCAAAATCATCAAATGGCCGTTTCGTTGAGACAATGTCTCTGAAGTATGCAAATTCATAGGAGCAAAGCTCCTGAGGGTCTGACGTATAGGAGGGGAGAACGTCAAACGGATATGACAATTCTCTAATAACAGGTTTCGTTTGTCTAAGAATAAAAGAACGAAAGATAATCTTCGTCATCCTGTCATAACCTATGATGCCCCGGATTCTCAACCAATCCAGCCACTCTGCTTGTCTCTGCACCTCCAATGATTTCAACTGGCATAGTGCAACTTTTCTTTTCTCTGTCAAAAAAACATCAGTAAAGGGATCACCGCCCATATTGGACTCTGCATCCTTTACCTCCTGCTGACATTTTAGTTCCTTCCATTTCCTGCTGGCCGCCTTCATGCAAGAAAAGACTATGAGGGTCTCCCTAACAATCGCCAAACCCACCTCCGCCCACAAGTCCTCCGTTTCAAATAGGTCCCTGGCATTCTGCCAGGTAATCATCTGAGACGAAACCCATACAGGAATCCATTTGTCCTTCAGCACATTCGTGTTTAACCTAAAGGGAGGTCTTGCTATTTGTACCAGTTCCTTCGTGATTATATCTACGAATACTGGGTAATGATCCGATATTGATGAAATTGAAAAGTCAGCATCAATGCATCTGTCCCAGATCGTACCTCTAACCGCAATGAAATCTAGCCTCCTACATGGTTGGGGGGAGTTCTCGTCTGGTCTTGGTCCAAACTAGGTATATCCATGTTCCTCCGGATTCATCTGTCTATAGGTGTCTATCAAGCTTTGAGAATCTAGAAGGGACAGGAGCAGCAAGCTGTTCTGTCTCAGGGGCGAGGCCACTGGAGAATCCAAACCAGGGTTTAGAGTGGTGTTCCAATCCCCCATTAATACCTGGTTTTCTGTATCTGGGATTATAGATGGTAAGTTTGAGAAAAATTATGTTCTTTCTATATAGTCCGTGGGAGCATATATATTCATGACTGCCCATTCTTTCGAATCCATTTCGAACTTTACCCAAACCCACCTACCACCCGAGTCACTGTAGTGGTCAAGGATTGTGCAGTCTAGGTCCTTGTGGAATAAAATAGCCGTACCGCCTCTGGATCCATTCGCTGGGGCCCAAAATTGAGGGCCCGTCCACCAGTTGCAGGCCTCATAGATTTTATCTGAATCTAACTTAGTTTCCTGAAGGCCCAAGATATGCACTTGTTCAGAATGGACCCAAGAAACTATCCGCGATCTTTTATGTCTCTCTGCCGTGTCACCCAATCCTTTTACGTTCCAGCTTGCAAGTCGGACCCTACTGGGTAAGACCATTGGGCTGGGGATTGCCGCCTTCGGTTTGGATGCGGAGAGAGTCATTGGCTGCTAGTAGTTCCCCAGTCCAATACTGGGTCTGGGATTGACTAGCTGCCTTGACTTTTGACTGAAACCCGGGGCTTGACAGAGTTGAACCAGCTTCTGTACGGATTATCCAGTCCGCAACTTATTTGACTGTCAGCTCTTGGGCCAAACGGATTTCAGCTAGGGAGTCCCAGGTCGGGGTAATGAGGTCCAGTAAAGGACACCAGAGTGTTCTTTCCTGACACAACTTGATCGCAGGTTCAGAAAGAAAGTTCAAACCCAGAAAAACTATGTGCAGAAGAGCTTTCTTGCCATTTGGCAAAGTAGCTACGTGTCTCCCCATGCGAGGTTCTGATAACAGCAGGCATGAGCCCTGATCGATTAACACCTGGGCATTAACCAGTGCTGGAATCTGTTCCTCAGCGACCACTGCATGCACTTCAATGGATGGGATTGATAACACTTCCTCGTTCGATCTCTCTGTGAAGATCATTAGGCCCAGTGGCGAATCTACACAGATGAGTGAAATGAGGAAGTTCTTGATCGAGCCGTTCTCCTTATCTTTCTTAGTTAGGGTAGCCATTGGGTGCGCAACCAAGAGTGATTTCTTAGCAGACCGACCCGGATGACTTCTCTTTTTTGTCTGAACATCTTCCCGGACTTCCTGGTCAGTGTCGCTCATGGTCCGTTCCTCCCCCGTCGCTGCAGCAGTCCCATCATTTGTTCGTGCTTTTTTATTTGGGTGCACAATCTCCTTGGAGGGTTCAAACCAAATTTGTCCCTCTTGGAACAGACCTGGGACAGCAAATTCCAGGTAATCTTTCTCCGGTGGAGCCTTTGGATCGAGGTCAAGCTCAGGCGACATCTGTCGATCGTGCCTCTCTTCCAAGTCTGTACCAGCGTTCGTGGCGGGTGGACTGGGGTCTGCCTGTATCTCCTCAATACAATCCTTGTTTCCATTGTCCTCCCTGTTTTGGCCTGTCTTGCCTAACTTCCCTTTCTTCTTCTTCTTTGGTTTCGGAATGCCGAAGATGAAGGAGGGATTTGACAGTTCATTTACGAATTTATCAGCAACAACAGCCAATTTATCAAAAGAGGACAATCCCTTGCCCCCCTTTTCTTTCCATATGGCCTTGGTCGTACTCTTACCCACTTTCACTCCTGCTTTCCCTCTATTACCCCCTTCAGCTCCAGTCTCAATTCCCTTGAGTTTCTCTTTTCGTGTCCCGCTGCCATCTATCTGCTTTTCTGTCTGCTTTTCAACCCTCAAGTCATCTTTGGAGATTGGTGAAGGCTCCTTTACTTTCTCCCTTTCCTTTGCCTCTTTGCTTTCCTCTTCACCACCTTTCTTTCCACTGTCCTCCCCTCCCTTGTCCTTCCACTTCTGCTTTCCCTTCTCTCCCTTTCCATTGCCATCATCCTTCTCAGGGGTCACTTCCTTACCCTTTTTCCTCCCCTTTTCCTTTTCCCTTTCCCCATTTCCTTCTTTACCCTTTCCTTTTTCCCCTTCGTCACCTTCCGCCTTATCTCCCTTACCATCTTTGCTCTTTCCCTTCCCTTTCCCTTTGCCTCCCTCCCGATCTCCTTCATTACCATCTCCCTGTTTCACCGCTTCCTTCTCCCGTGAGCCAGATTTCTTTTTCTTAGCAGGACAACAGTCATCCGTATCTTTATGAAAATGACGTCTACATACCGAACACCACGGAGTGGTAACGCAGGTGACATCGATTTCCATCCGACCCAGATCGCTCAGATTAATAATTAATCGTTTCTTGTATCTCAGTTTAGCGGAGGGCTGAAGATCAAACCTGATATCCCGAAGATCGGGAGACAGACGATCCTTATATGCTGCACAAACACGAAGAATAGGTCCAAAGGCATCTTCGATCACTCCTTTAAGGTGGCCCATGGCTGAGACCGGAATATCGTGACACCTAATCCAAAAAAAAAATTGTTGCATCGCATCTCTCTATTCCGCTAACTGCCGCTCAGACATCCAAGGGCGAAAGGTCGCTGAATAAACTCGATTATCTAGTTCTATCCTTTCCTCCCCTTTTCTTAGCATCCATGTTGCAATCTGGCTAGTAGAAGCAACGTAGGTAACCAAGTTTCTTCCCTCGTTACGGAAAACACCCCTGATTGGAGGAGAGTTGGTTTCCCCAGAGGCAGCCCACCCATTCTCGTATATTCGTACGAGACGGTTTTTGATGTCGACTGGAAGGGAGGATGCTTCATCCCCAAACATAATCGTGACGGCATGTTGACTCAGCCAATCGGCTTGGAGTCTTGACAGCTCGGGGTTAACATCCACCACAACACAGTCTTCCTCTACAGTCACTGTTCCCGGCGCCAAACGAAGGGGGAGGATTCCATCAACAAAACAAGCCTTTAAACACTCACGAACTCTTTCTTTGTCTGCGTCTGTCGGAGGAGAAGAAGCCATGATGAACGCAAAACTAATCAAAACAAACCAGCCTAAAATCCTTATTCTAATACTCATAATATTAAAAAAAAAACTTCCACGGTGAACCACACTGGGGTTACAGACTGAAAATAGCTTATACCTGGAAGAGCATTAGATACTAGAGGATCCTCTATCGAAGCAGCTAACTCGCTGACGCCCGTAGGGCTCATGACCGCCCTGGGACCCCGTACTCCGGAGAAATACCTTGGCGTAGAAAACAGGGCTGTCCGACCCTTGAAGTTTACGAGGAGGACGACTGGTCAGTTGCAGCTCCCTTACCTCTCCCTGATATACGAGGTACTTGTTAACACTCTCCTCTCGAGTGATTCACCTGGTCCAACAGCCCGAACACATGCGCCTACGACTTCGAGTCCACTCGTCCTTGGAAATACCGAGGGAGACGTCCCAACTTCTTCGTCCCTATGTCAAAACGCGCAATATCCCCGACGAAAAATTTCCTAACTCTAAGCTTGCTAAGCACCAAGCGCCGCCGAAGCGGCGCTTAGCGCAGGCAAGATAAGCGCAGGCAAGATTAGCGCAGCGTTGTTTTTTCTCGTATCGTTCCAATTTTAACGGATGTCCCAAAGGACACAAAAGACTTTCCTGGAGAAGAGGCTGCAGAGAAGTCACCATCGTCAATACACTTATGCCCCGAATCTCCACGGTAAGCAAGCGATCCGCGCTTTTAAACCACCAGTACCAGGCCCAACTATCGAGTCCGAGCCTCGGCCGACCGGTACGCCGATCCGTGCTGAGGCTCGGAGTCTCGGACTACCGGGCGCAGGCATCCCGAACGTCAGGGTGAAAGAACGAAAAAAACGGAAAAAAAAAAACGGAAAAAAAAACGGAAAAAAAAAACGAAAAAAAAAATGGCAGTGTATATTCCCAAGCTATAGGGCTAGATTCATTCGATTTTGCTCATCCTATGGAGGGCGCAGTACCATGAGGCCAGCCGC